ATCCTCAGCACCACATACCAACAAAGATGTTGTGTCTGCCGAGAACTAAAAAATAAATAAAAATTCTCTCTCTCTCTCTCTCTCTCTCTCTCTCTCTCTCTCTCTCTCCTCTCTCACTCTCTAAAAAAAAAAAAAACAAGCAGGAATAGTTATTCTCATATCTGTCAAATTAAATTTCAAGCAAAAATGAATCAGGAAAGACAGATAAATCCTGATAAAGTGAACAATCCAAGAAGAAGATATGATCATAGTAAATATATATGGCCCAAATGTCAGAGCACCCAATTACATAAAAAGCTCCTTAACATTAAATCTCAGTTAGATCCAATACAATATTACTGGGTGATTTCAACCCACTCTTATTACCAAAGACATGTCATCAAAGCATTAAATCAATAAAGATATTTCTGACCTAAATACTATAAATAAAATAGACCTAAAAACATCTACAGAATATTTTGCCCACAAACAGCAGAATTTACCTTGTCACCTCATGGAATCTTTTTCAAAATAGAGCATAATCTATATAATTCTGTGTATTCTATCAGATCATAATGGAATGAAGCTAAAAATGAACAGCAAGAAATATAATAGAAACCACAAACACATGGAGATCGAGCAATAATCTTTTAAATGAAGAATGGATCAAAGAAGAAATGGGAAAAGAAATTCTTGGAAGCTGGGCGAGGTGCAGCACACCTGTAATCCCAGTGGCTTGGGAGACTGAGGTAGAGGATTGCCAGTTCAAAGCCAGCCTCAGCAATAGTGAGGTGCTAAGCAACTCAGTGAGACCCTGTCTCTAAATAAAATACAAAATGGGATTGGGGATGTGGCTCAGTGGTTGAATGCCCCCTGAGTTCAAAGCCAGCCTCAGCAACTGCAAGGAGCTAAGCAACTCAGTGAGACCCTGTCTCTAAATAAAATACAAAATAGGGCTGGGGATGGGACTCAGTGGTCAAGTGCCCCTGAGTTCAATCCCCAGTACCCTCCCCCACCAAAAAAAAAATAGAGTTGGGTGTGATGGCACACATTTGTAATACCAGCAACTCAGGAGGCTGAGGAAGGGGAATCACAAGTTCAAAGCCAGGCTCAGTGAGTTTGCAAGGTTTTAAGCAACTTAGAGAGACCCTGTCTCAAAATAAAAAAGAAGGGCTAGGGGGGCTGGGGTTGTGGCTCAGTGGTAGAGTGCTTTTACCTAGTATGTGTGAGGCACTTGGTTCAGCACCATATATAAATAAATGAATAAAATAAAGGTCCATCAACATCTAATTTTTTTTTTAAAGAAGGGGGCTGGGGATGTGGCTTAAGTGGTAGCATGCTCACCTGGCATGCATGTTGCCCGGGTTCGATCCTCAGCACCACATACAAACAAAGATGTTGTGTCTGCCTGCCAATAAAAATAAATATTAAAAAATTCTCTCAAAAAAAAAAAAGGCTGGGATGTGGCTCAGTGGTTCAATCTCCAGTACTCCCTCCAAAAATAGATTCCAAATAAATATATTCTGCCTCAAGGCCTTATAAAAGTAATAACTAATCCAAAAATCAGTAGAAGACAGGAAATAATTAAGAT